TATCCAGCATGCACAGGGCATGACCCCCCTGGACCCCATTCTCATTAAGAGTTGCGTTCCCTTGGAGAGCCACGTAGACTGTTAAGTATTAGGAAAAAAAATTACTTAGGGAGGTTGCTCTCTGCTCAACCACAGAGGGATAAGCAAGCTTTCTACCGTTTTCTATTTCATGTGGAGGCAGCCGTTCTCCGCTCCCCATGTGTTCCTGAATTTCCCCCAGCTGCACTGTACCTGGAAGAGGCCTGAGGACGCTGTGATTCCCTCAATAAATGTGTCTGTGATAGTCAAGCACAAGTGTTCTCAGAGTGTCTCCAGTGCGGCTCTGGAGTTGGACATGGTGGGGCTGAGTGACGTGCCTGCCTCTGTCAGGGCCTTGCTGGGCACTGGACGTGAGGGATGCTCACCACCTCTATAGCAAGCATGCAGGAGAGTCACCCTTGTTGGCCATCTCAGCTTCCAGAGGCAGGAGATGGAGTCTGTCATCCATGCCACTGTCGGTGAGGGGGTGATGGTGTCAGAGCTCTCTTTATCCAGAGAGCTGAGGCTCTAGATACAGAAGAGACCACTCATGGGCATTGTCCTTGTGGAAATGGCTGGCCCCCTCTGGTGCCCACAAGGAGCCAGCTCATGGTAGGCTGAGGGCAGTAGAGTTGGAGGGTCATAGGAGAAGACATCCATTATTCTTATGTATTTGGGATTTGTGTATGTGTGCACATAGGTGCTCATGCACTTGTGTGCACATGGGTGTGGAGGCCAGAGAGCATGCTTAGGTATTATTACTTAGGCACCATCCACCCATTTGTTTGTTTATTTGTTTATTTATTTATTTGAGACAGGGTCTCTCACTGGCCTGGAGCTTGTTAATGACTCTAGATTTGCTGGTCAGTGAATCTCAGGGATCCTCATGTGTCTGTCTTCCAGCACTGGAGTCACAGGTATGTGCCACAGTGTCTGGCTCTCAAACCCAGGTCTTGTATATGTGGCATGTCCCTATCCGGCTTTGCCATCTTCCCAGCACTTAGGGATTTTTGTCCCTCCAAAACACAGCCTTTATTTAACATGATGGTGGCAGCAGAAGTCAGGTCCTCAGCCCTGCTCTCGGCTGAAGCCGTGGATATCTCTAACCCTGTCTCTTTAGGAGAGTTAATGAGATTAGAGGCTCCGTCTACCATGCTGTTGTCCTGAGTCTGTCATGTTATCTCTCCTGTCACTCAGCAGCCTGGGCTTGACTTTTTCTCTGAGGAGAATCTAAATAGAAACAGAAAAACAGAACACACTGGGAAATCCACTGCGGTATACAACAGAGAGGTTTTCTGCTGCTGCCAGGTCAGTAATGAGAGAGAGGAGAGAGAGAGAGAGAGAGAGGACATTTCAGGAAGTTGTATTACGAACTTGGAGTAAGAGGACCTCAGCCGTCATTTCCTGGAAGGATTTTGGATGTTGTCAGATAGCGATGGAGGGAAAAAAAATAATTGTGGCAATTGTCTTAGCTGTCTCCGGGCTTGTCACAGTGATGCTGATAAAATCAAATAAGCTGGAAGTGAGGTGACTTGTTAGTGTGGGAAAAGGCCCGGCGCTGGCAGCCGAGGAGGTGGAGGTGTCCAAAGTGCTCGCTCATTACTGGGATTGATTGTCTCCAGCGCTGGGAAAGCGCTGGTAAGCAAAAACAACATCTCAGTGATGGACGCTAGCATCCTTCTTCCTCACCGGGGCTGTGGGGTAGCCACTGGCTGGTTGGCTGCAGCTGAACTGGGAGGCAGATAGAGAATTTCCGGGGATGTTTATGCCTGAAAAATGGTTTTAAGTTGTAAACACAAGCTGAACGAGCCTGAGAAGAAGGATGGGGATAGTGACCTTCTTTAAGGAAAACATTTAAATAAAACATTTCATTTCATTTTCTTTCCTTCCTTTTCCTTTTTCCTTTCCCCTTTCCCCCTTCCCTCCCTCCCTCCTCTCTTCTCTCCCTCTCTCTGGCTTCCATTCTCTCTGTCTCTCTCTGCTGCCCCACCTGTCCTAAACCTCACACTGCAGCCCAGGCTAGTGTCTTAGCAGTCTTCTTGCCCCAGCCTTCTAAGTTATGGGATAGCAGGTGTGAGCCATCTTAAAGTATACCGTTCTGTGGTTTTTGCCCTATGTATAAAGTTCTGGAATCATCGGCATTGCATGATTTGGGCGCGTTTTTATTATCTGCCCAAGGGAAACTCTACCTGTTAGCAGTCAGTTCCCACTCCCCACTCCCCTGGCCCTTGGCCACCACCCCACACTTCTTGCCGGTGTGGATTTACCCGTGGTGCTCACATCAGACATCAGACTCATGCCGTATGTGGCCTTTTGCATGGCAGTTGGAGCCCATTCTGTAACATGTAGTTCAGTTGAGCCTTGCTCAGCAAACCATCCCTTGATTGTTAGCCCCTGGCAGAGCTGTTTGTTCCCAGTACCTGAGACATAGACCCTTAGGACTCACTTAGCACGTGTTCCTCTGAGGCTCCCCAAACTGCTGGCTGCTCACTGAGTCATTGTTCTGTCTGATACATATTTAAAGAACACTCACTATGGGGGAGTGTTCTGGGGGACACAGGCAACCCCCCAAACCCCGGCAAACAAAACAAAACACTCCCCCCACTCCCCCCCCCCCCCCGATTTCAGGGCACTTATGTGCCTCTGAGTATGTGTCTGTCTGTGATAACCAAAATCATAAAACAATAGTATGTCAGAAACGAAGACCAGGGAGCAGCCAGATCCAGGGAAGGGCGAGAGAGCCATGGAGAGGAGAGCTGGACTGTGCAGGGATCTCAGCAAACGGCCAGCATCTAGCAAAGGCTGCTCTTTTTACAAAGCATCTCCTGTTCGTGTTGATGCTTAGGATACATTTTTCCATGATTTGTTTTTGGCTTAAAATAGATTTACTCCTTTATTCAACAAGTGTTTGCTGAGAATATGCTTGGCTCCCAACTGTATTTTAGGTCTTGGCTCAAATGTAAATTCCTCCTGAGGTCATTTCTTCCAAGCCTACCTCTGGTTTTCCTGTGGACTCGTTGCTATGAGGGCTTTATTTGTTTTGGGGGCTTGGGGAGGGGGAGTGGTTTTGATTTTTGATTTTTGTTTTTGTTTTCCCTCAAACCAGAAGAAAATCTAACTCAGGCAGCTGGGGTACTTTCTAATACGTTCATTTATATGGAAATTGGCTAGTAAACATTAATTTTACCTGCTCCCAAACCTACTCTTGATAAGCCTTGAAAAACTGAGAAGAGAGTCCATTGAGTCTCCGTTTAATGATGGCGACTGGCATCCAAGCGCCAGTTGCAAGGTAGTCTTAAGGCTGCCAGAAAGTGTCCATGAAATGAGCGTGTGTGGCTTGTGTGAGAGCGTGTGGGCATGCTCAGGAGTGTCTATGTATGTGGTGGGGGGAGGGCTGGACACGGGTGTGAATGGGTTTGTGCAGGGGTGTGGGGGGTAGGTATGGGTGTGAGCAGGAATGTGCGAGGGCGTGTGTGTATGTGGCGAGGGGAGGAATGTTCAGGAGTGTGTCTATTGGGCAGGCTCAGGCATACAGCACCTCAGGCTGGAGCACCAGTTTCCATCTCTGGGGGAAGCATCACCCTGTAGTACAGGCTAGCCCCCTCTCTAGGTCCCTGGGGGCTCCTTGGATGGGTGTGAGGTGCACTGCCTGGCTTCAGTTCAAACATGTGTATGTGAACCAAAGTCATGGAGAGGACCAACCCATCAGCTTGTCCCCAAGGACCACATCTAGACCCCAGCCCCCGCATCACTCACAATGATGATCATGGTGAAGTATGGTAGGGGAGAGGGAAGGAAGGAGAGAAAGAGAAGGAAATAAAAATGGGGATAACATTCTGTCATTTACATAGACTGCTTTTTGTCCCCAACAATAACTTTTTTTGGGGGGAGTTGGTTTTTGAAGACAGTTCCCTGGCTGTCCTGGAACTCTCTCTGTAGACCAGGCTGGCCTGCAACTCAGAGATACGGCCTCCTCTGCCTCCTGAATACTGGGATTAAAGGCGTGCCCCACCACCAGGCTCCCCACCAATTTCTAAAAAGTTCTGAGCTGCCAAGAAGAGTTGGTGACAAACCAACTCTTGGGACCCTTTTCCTAGACATTAACATAAAAAGTAGGTGAGAATTAAAGACACTGATTGGTGATCCTTATGGTGAGTACTGCAGGGTAGAACCTGCAGATGACCCACAGCAAACCCACCTGACATCCCAGAGAAGACAGCCAGTTCACGATTCCAGGTTCCGGGCCATCATTGTGGGGAAGTCATGGTAGAAAACTCAAAGCGAATGACAGTATCACACCCATAGTCGAGGGCAGACATAAATGAGGTAGGGGGATATTGGAGAGCAGAGAGGGGTGGGCATGATCAAGACGCATCGCACACATATGTCAAAATAATTTCACATATGTTCAGAAAATATCTTTTCAAGATGACGATTTACAGTCATTTTAACTTTCATATAAGTTACAATAGGAAAACCAGAGGTAAGCCTGGGCATTTTCTTGATTAAATGGTCGATGTGGGAAGACCTAATCCACTGGGGACAGTGTCACCCCTAGGCAGGTGGTGGTCTTGGAGTGTATAACAAAGCAGGCCAAGTAAACAACATTCCTCCATGACCTCCTACTTCAGTTCCTGCCTCTCAAGTTCCTCTTCCAACTTCCCTCCATGGTGGACTGTGAGCTGTAAGCTGAAATACCACCCCTATCCCCACTAAGTTGCTTATGTCTTGGTGCTTGTCATAGCGATAGAAAGCAAACCAAGACAGGACTTTACTCAACAAAGGACACTTCCTTAGGGAAGGGTTGCACACCCACTCTGAGCCGCTGCCACCCATGTGTAGCCCGTGAACGAGTCTCCGTCCACTTTACCAGTCATTCTAACTCCTCGATGATGAAGAGGGCCGCGACCACTCACCCGGTTCTTTGCTTCCTGCAGAATCACGTGCACTGCGTTCAACCTTGCTGCCTGTCTGTTTTCCAGGGCAAACGGCTCCTACTATGAGATTCTACAAGTGGACTTCGGAGTTGACAACAGCAGTGGCCTGGCTGGGGCCCAGCAGATCACCTGGCAGGTCGAATACCCGGTGGAAGACTCCATGAGTGAGCTCTTCGTCTCTGAGATCTTCATCAGCCAGACGACCTTTGTGGGCATCGTCCCTCTTGCTATGGTAAGAAACCAGGGCTAATGTAGATGAGCCGTGAAGAACTTCCTTTGAGGTTTATTTTTCATCTTCACGGATGCACGTGCGTGCACCTGTGTGTGTACGTCCACGTAGGATCATCCTTCATTGCTCTCCTTGCATCTTATACTATGTGTCAGGGCTTCTCAATCAAACACAGAACTTGCTGATAATGTCCACTTTCTTGAACCCAGTTTGCTCCAGGGAATCCCCTGTCTTTGCCTTCCCAGGCTAGAATGACACTTGGGTCACCTCATCCACCAGGTACTTAAGTGGGTTATCTGGGACTCTGAACTCCAGTCCACACATACATGCATGCCAAGGGCTTTCGCCATGGAGCCACGCCCAGCTCCTCCTTTTAATACTTGCATCACTTAAGGAAACATGAAGTGTCTCTGAGCCCGTCACTCCTCGAACACTTGGTGTGCACTACTTGAACAAGGGAAATATACTTAAGCAGTGTTTTATTTACCTGCTTTCCATAAGGGCTCCTGGGAAGCCATTTAGGGTTTACTGTATGAATCTCTTTTCATTTGTGGTGTTGCCAAGTGGCTCCCGGGGACCTCTTGTCTTTTATCGTCTCCATCTGTGTTCATATCAGGTCCAAGTGCTCCACTTGGGGAAGACGGTTTCACTGAAGTGTGTCGGGAACATGTACTGGGGACGGAGGCTCTCGATGCCCAGGAACCAGCCCCCTTGTCAGTTGGCACTGTCCTGAAAATCCCCAGGTGACCCTGGGATTGGCAAAGTTTTAAATGCAGATGGACTAAAAGAGCCTTGTTAGGAATTGACTGGCTGAAGCTGGACAGGGTCCCAGAGCCCATTAAACTGCCCACATGTCTGCCCTGTTGGCATGGCAGGGATGACATTTCTTCCTCTGAGTGTGTCTGGGACCCCGTTCATATCAGGCTCAGGAGCCACATTTGAGAACAGGGTCATGGGTTGAAATCTAGATCCTCTAAAGCATGGTGATGGTGGGAACACATTGGAAATGTCAAATTATTTTTTTGGGGGGGCACTGCTTGGACCTTCCCATATTGGACCCTAAAGGTGGGAGAATACACATTCGGATATTCTGGGTCACTGGTGGCTAGTTGCTGAACACATGACCTCAGTGCTTCCGTCTCAGCTGCCTGCCAGTCATCTTGGTTTTGAAGATCAGTCTCCTCACGGCGACACACATTTGGTTCCGTGACAGCCACAGCTTGGCAGGAAATCACTTGTTAAGGAGCAGCGATGGGCAGACCCCGAGTTCTGGGAGGGGACAGGACTGGATGTCTTCAAAGGCAGGTGCTGGTTCCCTGGGGAGCTGTGGATTAACATGTGCTGTCTGATGGGAAGGTGAGATCAGGTCAGTATACCAGGGTTGGCTAAATGCAGTCCTTTGGCCAAATCCAGGCCATTGAGGCCCGTTTTTAGCAAATCAAGTATTGTGGGAACATGGACCCACGTAGGATGAGTCACCTGTGGCCACTTGGGTGCTGTGACGAGGTTGTGCGTTTATAGCCGGGAATGCATCTCTGGCTCGAGTTTTAATTTTAGCATCCTGGAAGGAGTAGCACTTGGAGATGATTCCCCAGAATGGAGCTGCTAAGAGGCTTTGGGGAAATCTTGTCTCTTGCATCAGGGATCCTTTCTCGAGGAGATCTTTACCGAAAATGCTCCTACTCTTTGGTCAGTGGTTCAGCCGTCCTCTCTCACGATGCAACCTGAAGCCCAGGCTGGCATGTCACTCATGAGTCAGGTCCCGTGGTAGGGACAGAACAGAGCTGAGCGAGAAGGATCTGACTGAACTCAAAGGGAATGAAGATAGGGAAGCAGGCTGGGGCATGGCTGGTCAGACGCTGGTCTTTTCCCTAGCCTTCCTCTCATGGCCACTGTTGGTGGAGCAGCATGCCCACCCCCCGCCCTCCGTGTGGACGGACTTCCTGTGACTCAGACGGGGCTGGTTCCTCTCCCTCATCTGGCTCCAGTGCCTCCTTCTAAGCACACTCTGAGCCTCCTGCATCCACTGGAGATGCCCGTTCATATCCCATGCATCCTGTTCTGCTGTGACTGTTCACGTCTCTCCCTGGGGCTGGGTTTCACAGGGACACTTCCTTGCTTTTGACTTTGCTTGCCATTGCCTGGAAAGTGGGGCAGCTGAATGTGTCATGTCCCGGTTCCCTGTGAAGGACTCAGGATGACTCCAGGTGGGGGTGAGGGATGGCCGAGCTTGCTCAGTAGTTTCCTAAGGATTCGATGAGTTGCTCTAGGTGAAGTGTCTGTACTCATTAATATTAATATTATTTCCATAATTGTCAGCCTGTTGATTAGCATATACCGGGAGAGCTGCCAAATGTGAGAACAAAGAGAAGTTGCATCTCAGGCTAAGAGGTGACCCTTCTCTTAGAGGTTTGGATGTTAAACTTCCCCACAGGATCAAGTGTGGGAACACTTGGTCCCCAATTGGTGGCACTGTTTCAGGTGGCTATGGAGCCTTTAAGGAGGTGGGGCCTGGCTGGAGGAAGTAGTTGCTGGGGAGGGAGGGCCTTGAGTCTTATATCCTGCTTCCTGTTCCTCTCAGCTGATATGTGAGTATGGGGTCTTGAGCTTCTGTTGGCATACAATTTGACCATGCTTCTACATGTTCCCTGCCAAGCTATGAGCTGAAAAAGGCCAATCTTCCTTCAGCCCACTATTTCCAGTTACTTTATTACAGTGATGAACAACGAAACTGGTATCAAGCATGCTCAATTTCCTGTTGTGTGTGAGGCTTTTTCTGGGGAGACGCAATACATATGTTTCCTTTCCAAGACAGGAGTGAGACAAAAAGCCATGATTGTACCAAATTCCACTCTGGAGAACTGTCTCTAAACTGCTTACTAACATCCTTCCCCTCTGAAACCTCTTGAGCTGAGCCTGCCTTCATCACTGCTGTCTTCTATGCCCTGGCTAGGATGGCCCATTAAGCCCTGCTTAAAACATTGAACTGCTATTAATAGTCCAAATTCCCCAACTCTTCAATATTTCTCCAACAAATAGCATGGTCAGGCCTGTTACAGCAATACCCCACTCCTGATACCAACTTCTGCCTTAGCTACTGTTCTGTTGTTGTGAAGAGATACCATGACCAACCAAAGCAACTCTTATAAAATAAAGCATTTAATTGTGGGCTTGCTTACTGTCTCAGAGGATTAGTCCATATCATTATAGTGGGAAGCATGGCAGCAAATAGGCAGGAGTAGCTGAGAGCCTTAGCAGGCAGGAGAGGAGAGAGAGAGGGGGGAAGGAGAGGAAAGGAGGGAGAGAAAGGGAGGGAGGGAGGGAGAGAGAGAAGGGTCTACCATGGGCTTTTAAAACCTCCCAGTGGCACACTTCCTCCAACAAGGCCACACCTCCTAATCCTTCCCCAAACAGTTCCACTTCCTGGTAAGTAAGCATTCAAACATCGAATGAGCCTATGGGGGCCATTCTCATTTAACCATAGGGATCAATGAGTTTATTGGGGCTCCTAACAGGAGTGTAGGTGAGGGGTTAATTATAGAAACAGGGATAACTGGAAAGCAGCTGCATCACTGAAAAATCTACCCCAGTGCTGATGGAAGCTGCAAGCCTGGAGCTGTCTGCAGGACTTGCAGAGAGCTGGACAGTCTGCCCGCCTTCTCCAGGCAGCACAGCAGGCCAGAGTCTGTTCCTCTTGAAAGCGTCGATTGCTTCTAAATCCTTGGGGGTCCTCCTGGATCTTATACATTTCTGCTTCCCCAGAACTGTGAGGTTTGCTTACTTCCTGAGTCCCATGAGCCTCTTGGACCTTCCTGGAGTACACAGCGCTTATGGAACCAGCTACAGCCACAGGGCGGGTGGGAATCCAGTGCACCCCAATATTCATCTACTGTCAAGGAAAGTCAAGGAAGACTGGGGGACAGTCTGTGTGGTTCTTAAAGGTGAATGATAGTGGCTACGAGGACAGGAAGACCTTCAAGGCTGAGGAGCGAGAAGGTGTTTGGGGAGCACAGTAGCAGAGTCCAGGCAGCAGGTGAGGTGGCATGGCTGCCACCTAAGCACAGGGAAGGCAGGGTAGGGTGGGGAAGGAGGCAGCCTTGTTGGGTTCATCTACTATGCTAGGATGATGTCAGACCTCTGGTCTAGGGTCATCATTCATTTGTCTAATTTATTGGATCACAATAAATTTATCGACCCATAAGTATTTATCAGAGTTTTGCTAAGTTTTGTGTTCTCCGCCTTCGTGGAGGATTATTACATTATAAAGGGGCCTGAAGGAAGTGTTTTTCCATCTGTTTGTCTTTTATGCCTTCTGCCATGTGAAGATGCAGCCTCTCATTTTCTCTAGAGGACACAGTCACAAGGCATCATTTTAGAAATAAAGAGACCAGACTTTACAGATACTGAGCCCAATAGCAACCTGATCTTCTCAGCCTCCAGAAGGGGAAGGAGATTTCTGTTCTTTCTAAGATGTCCAGCCTCAGGTATTTTGTTACAGCAGCATAAATGCACCAAGACACCAGCAGTATGCTGAGGCTCGCAGCTACTTAACATTAAGTCATGTTAAGGAAGAGTTACCAATAACTAAATACTGATTTATATAGCAGAATTGTTTCCTGTCATTAAGAAGATTCACAAGCACTTTCCCAACTTCAACCCTCATGTTAACTTTTTTTCTGTTTGTGCCTGTTTGGAGCACTGTATGATGATGGACTCTGAGGTTCGCTGAGGGAGTCTTGTGGTCATTAATCTGTGTCTGCCAGAGGTGGGACAGGAGTGGAGGTAATGCCTGCCATGTCCTAGTTTTCCCATCTAGCTAACACTTTGGGACATTGTAGGAAAGTCTGTTCCCACTTCCTGCCTCCCAACTTCTTTGCTAACAGGACCCCAGCATGATCTTGGCCTTCTGCCTCGCCACTGACTAAGCAGGGTTCCCCCAAGCCCTGGGGTAATATGTGGATTAACCTAATCCGTCAGTAGGGTGTCCTCCATTTTCTGGTGAT